ATAGGCACCGCGCCACTGCATGGACGAGGCGCAGGGCAGCGCGGGCAGGAGGTGGCGGGCGGAGGAGGAGAGCTCACTGGGCGAGCCAACACATCAGTATCATCATCGCATCATCAGACCTGTTACTGGGCACGCAGGAAGAGGTGACGGAGACACCGTGTAGATGTCGAAGGCAGGTCAGCAGCGGCAGAAACGAGACGGGGAAGCGCGCGGTCAAGAAGCGATGGGAAATACGTTTTTGCCTCCAGACCAGACCGACAGCGAGCCACGAAGAATGCAGCGCGCAGGCGGCGCCGCGCGAAAGTGCCTGGGAAGTCCTCGCCGACGCGGTCTGGTCATCCCGAGGGAATCCCATCGACGCGCGGGGGTTGTCCACTGCGACTCTGAGTCAACGGATAGCACCCCCGTACTGCGTGGCGAGGCGTGCGAAAATGGCGCGATCTGGGTGCAATCCCCCGACAGGCGCCGGTCATCCTCTGGCGAGAAATCCCGACGACGAGCTGGGGTCATCCAAGCGTCAGCGACAACCAGCGCGCGCCGCTGGCTCGTGCGGGGCCGCTCCCCAGGTCAGGCCTCGCGGATGAACTCGCTGAAGCCCAGCTCTTTGGCGAGGGCCGTCGCCTCCCTCCTGCACCGCTTCGTGCGCGCTGCAAGCTGCTCCAGCTGCTTCCGCAAGCCCTCCGGCGGCCCTGCCAGGAAGAACTCGATGAGCGGCGCCCGCATGAGCAGGAGATCCTCGTGGCGCGTGGCGCGCGAGAGCAGCGCGTAGAGCTCCAGCCACCAGTCGTCGTCCTCCTTCTTGCCGTTCCCGACCTCGTGGCGGCCGCAGTCCAGGATCACGCCTGGGCCGCAGCCATTTGGGCCTCCGGTGGAGCTCCCCATGGGGCCACGAAACGTGTAAGGGGTGTGCCAAATATGGGGTGGCGGCGGCATGCGGACGCAGCCATTTGGGCCTTAGATGGAGCTCCCTATGGGGCCACGAAGCGTGTGAGGGGTGTACCAAAATTGGGCGGCGGCGGCATGCGGAACGCAGCCATTTGGGTCCTCGGTCGGCTCCCCATTGGGTGGGGGCCACGGAAGCGGGTGAGGGGTCCTTATGTGCAATATTGGGCGTCTCAGCGGAGCTTGCGGACGCAGCGGCCAGCCATTTTGGGGCCTTGGATGGAGCTCCCTATGGGGCCACGAAGCGTGTGAGGGGTGTGCCCAAAATGGTGCGGGCGGCGGCACATGCGGACGCAGCCATTTGGGCCTTCGGTGGAGCTCCCCATGGGGCCGCGAAACGTGTAAGGGGTGTGCCAAATATGGGGTGGCGGCGGCATGCGGACGCAGCCATTTGGGCCTTAGATGGAGCTTCCTATGGGGCCACGAAACGTGTGAGGGGTGTGCCAAAATTGGGCGGCGGCGGCATGCGGACGCAGCCATTTGGGCCTTCGGTGGAGCTCCCCATGGGGCCGCGAAGCGTGTGAGGGGTGTGCCAAAATTGGGCGGGCGGCGGCATGCGGACGCAGCCATTTGGGCCTTAGATGGAGCTCCCTATGGGGCCACGAAGCGTGTGGGGGTGGAGCTCCCTATGGGGCCACGAAAATGGGCGTGTGAGGGGTGTGCCAAAATTGCGCGGCGCGGCATGCGGAACGCAGCCATTTGGGCCTTTTTTTTTTAGATGGAGCTCCCTAATTTGGCCACGAAACGTGTGAGGGGTGTGCCAAAATTGGGTGGCGGCGTCATGCGGGCGCAGCCATTTGGGCCCTCGGTGGAGCTCACCATGGGGCCACGCAGCGTGTGAGGGGTGTGCCAAACTTGGGTGGCGGCGGCATGCGGACGCAGCCATTTGGGCCTTCGGTGGGGCTCCCCATGGGGCCACGAAGCGTGTGAGGGGTGTGCCAAAATTGGGCGGCGGCGGCATGCGGACGCAGCCATTTGGGCCTTCGGTGGAGCTCCCTATGGGGCCACGAAGCGTGTGAGGGGTGTGCCGATGATGATGATGATGATGATGATGATGGTGGTGATGATGATGATGATGATGATGATGATGATGATGATGATGATGATGATGATGATGATGGTGCTGGTGCTGGTGCTGGTGCTGGTGATGGTGATGGTGATGGTGATGGTGATGGTGATGGTGATGGTGATGATGATGACCGACAACCACGATGTGGATGATGATGATGACGATACTCATGATGATGAGCATGATGAGGATGGTGATGAGGAGGGGGAAGGGGCAGCGGGAGGAGGAACGCGGGGCACCGTCTCTTCAAAACGAGGACCCAACACCACAGGATGGTTGGGAAATAAATCTGGGTCACCACCGGGTTTGGGGACACGCGGTCGCCACGAGGTTTTGCGTTTCCTGGGTCAGCCAGCGCTCGAACACCATTACGCAAATCGCCCAAAACTCACCATCGGGTGTTCTCACCACCACGTTTGGGGACCACCAAGTGTGGAAAAGAGTGCTGCTGGCCCGGCGAAGAAAGCAGCGCGGCGCAGAGCGAGGTATTGTGAAGGCCTTACGGCCAGTGCCGCCGATCCTGACGACTACGACGACGACGACGACGACGACGACGACGACGACGACGACGACGACGACGACGACGACGGCGGCGACGACGGCGACGGCGACAGCGACGTCGACGACGACGACGACGACGACCATGGTCTCTCCACTGGCACGCCCCCGAGCCGACACGACAAGCTGCACCAGTGCGTGGAAAAGAGGGCTGCTGGCCCGGCGACAAACAATCCCAACCCAACCCGAAGGCCCGAAGTTGCCTTCCATTCCCAGTTGGGGGGGTCGGGGATAAAGCACGTGCGGAAGCCGTACCCCCCCTCCCAACCCGAAGTTTGGGTCTTCGGGTTGGGGTGGTCTGGTAGGTGGTCAAAAAACATCCCGGCGGTCAGAGGAGGAAGAGAGGTGCGGCAGGTTCGTGCCGTGTCGACTCCGCGTCGACCCCGCCACGGGCGTTCAATGTGACACGCTGCCAGTGTTAAGTCGGGCCTGTCCCTCTACAGGAGGTGTATTCAAAACATGTCAAACATTCTCTTGGTCATTGTTTTTTATTTCTATTTTTCGTCCAGAATCCGCCTGTAAAAGGACGCCCGACCTGAACGCTGCCAGCGCCCAGAATCGGACAGTACGGAACGATCTGGCAATTGGAGAGCCGCCGATCGTTCAAGGTTGGATGAACCACGCGGTTTACAACGCATAGTTCACACCACACAACGTGTGCGATCTGACGGTCCACAGCTCACACCCCACAGCTTACGAATCGTAGCTTGCACTACGTAGCTCACACCGTGCAGCTTACACCGCACAGCTTGCACCACGTAGCTCACACTGCATCGCGTGCACCGCACAGTTTCTTCCTCCACACTGAACTGACGCACTGTTTGGCTTTCGCGCTGGCTAACATGTGCTGCCCATTCTAAACCCGCCACTCCCCCCCGTGAACCGCGCCGCCTTCAGTGCCACCCACAGCGCATTCCGAGCCCCAGGGGTGGGGCGATGAGGTCGCCCCTGCCAGCCTGCCAGGCATCCAGTCTGGACTGGTTACCAATATGCAGATCCCAATCTACTTGATGTGGCTTTCTAATTGCAGTTATACTAGCGCGTTTTGCGGAGCATGAGTTGGTCGGGCCGCCTTAACCGTATGGGCTCAAGGCGTAACGGAGGGAGCGGTCCGCGCGGGGCGTGGATGTTGCCGCTGGTACTGGGAGGGGCGGTCGCCGCGACCATCGCGTACCTCCACCGGTGCCCTGCTGCGCCGGAGTGCCCGAGCTGTTCCTTGACCTGTCCTGCCCGTCCTTCTTTCACGTGCCCCCCGCCAGCCGCAGTCAGCTGCCCAGCGTGCCCCACGCTGGTCTGCCCCGCGGTGGCGGACGAGGCGCCGCGCGCCGCTCCTGAGGGGCGTGCTGAGGCGCCGCGCTCCTGGCCTGCCTGCGCTGCTTGCGAGCAGCCGGCGGAGCCTGAGCGGGCGGCTCGGTCTCTCGGGGACGTGCGGTACGGTGACGACGTGCCAGGGGACGTGGCGACGGCAGCTGCGGTGCGCGGGCGCGACCTCGACACCCTCGCCGACGGGAGTGCCCTGTTCGTTGAGGAGGTGCCGGCGGCCGAGCTGGAGGACTTCATGGGGCGCGCGGTGGCAGCAGACGCTCGCGTGATGCCCGTGATGCGTACGGGCGCCCGCCGCGAGGAGACGTGGGCGGTCATGGCTGCGCGCGGTCGTGAGGTGAACTTCGGGCGCGACTGGCGGGTGACAGGCCCGCGGACGACGTTCTGGTGCATCAAGTTCATCAACAACGAGGGGATGAGCATCGACGGGCAGCACGATCGGTTGCGGGCGGTGGCGAAGCTCGAGCCGACCCAGTGGCGCGTGCAGGAGCACTTCCAGTGCACGCAGTACATCCGCCCTTTGTTGCTCTATGACCAGTGCGACGGCACGAACTTACAGGCTTTCGAGGTCATCTTCTGTCGCATGCAGACGATCGAGTATTCGTACCTGGAGAAGGTGAGGGAGCGTGAAGGGGCCAGTCAGAGCGGGAAGCTGTCGATCGAGGAGCAGACGCACTCCGCGGGTTCGACTCGGATTTCCTCCAGCTTGATGGTGCGCCCTGTCTCGTTGGAGTTTGTACGCAAGGAAGTAGAGCATGAAGCTGCCCTGGCAAAGAACCTCCGTAAGGCTCGTGAAGAGAAGGAGGCTTTCAAGAAGGGCAAGAAGGACGGACAAGGTTGAGGGGGCATGGAGCGCCCCCTTTGTGGCCCCCGGTCGCCAGGCGACCGGGGGGCGCCTTCGCATGGTCAATTCGAACGATCTTTTCTTGGTCGTGATGAGCCCGCACGTCTGGTTGCTCGCAATCCTCTTCCTCTGCCAGTACCGCCAGTCTCATCTGTATGCGCTGGCCGTGGTGGATTTTTGTTGCGAGGATGCCGCCAGCGGGTTCACAGCGTCACGCTCGCGATCTCGACGTTCGGAGGGCGGTGGTCGCCCTAAATTCACTGCATCGCTCTCCTGACGTTGTGCCGGGCGGAGAGGGTCAACTCATTGGTGGTCCTCTGTCGCTGATGCAGCAGCGGATCATGGAGCACGTGCGCAACTCAGTTGGAGCGCTGGGGGCTCCACCGGCAGGCGTCGACACCTCGGAAGCTCTGCGGAGGCTTCGAGCGCCTGGCTTCTACGGCTCCGACGAGGACGCGAAGCTGGGGAACTACAATCCCGATCTGCTCTCGCTGCCGTCCGCGGGGAGCCATGCGGTTCCGCTCGCGGACTTGCGGGGCGCAGGCGGGCGCAGGCGCGTCGCGGAGTTCGTCCGCGATAGTGTGCTACCTGCGGGGCCGGCGCTGGAGAGGAGGAAGACGCGCGGCGTGAGGGCGCCCTATTCCGACCCAGCTCTTCGCCAGCCGCGTGTGTGGAGCGATTTTGTTTCGCGGCTTCATCGCGGCGGCCTGCTAGATTTTGCCTGCGACCGCGGCAGAGAGTCCGTGGAGTTCTTCTGTGTTCCGAAAAAGGATCAGCGATTGAGACTCGTTTGCGATTGTCGTCGCAGCAACGTTTGGTTTCGTGAGCTTGATAATGTGACCCTTTGCACTGGTGAGACCCTTGGACCTCGAAGTCGGTGAAGACGAGGCGCTTTATATTTCGGAAGCTGACCTGTCCAATGCTTTCTACCATTTGCAGCTGCCTGTCGAGTTGCGGGATCTGTTCACCCTTAGGCGCGTCCGTGCTCGGTATATCGGCTTGATTGAGATCGACGGGATGCCGGTGCGCGACGGGGCGTGGGTGTACCCAAGACTTCGCGTGTGCCCCATGGGGTGGATTTGGGCATTGTGGTGGTGTCAACGTGTGCATGAGAGATTGGTCGAGCGGCGTGGAGGACAACCCGAGGAGAGGTTACAGGATCGTCGTGTCATCCCCTCTCTCACGGGGGCCTGCCATCTCGAGTATGTCGACAACTTCGCGGCTATTTCGACTGTCGCCTCCAAGGTGCATCGCCTCGCGTCCGCCGTAGTGCAGGGTTTCAGGGAGGCGGGGTTGGTCGCGACCGCCGATGTCGACTCGCCCGGAGAGGATCTCGCTCGGGACCGCACCGTCTTGGGATGGGATATCAGTTGTCGTGCCGCTGTCCTGAGGCCTACCCGGGCCCGTGTCTGGAGGGCCCGCTTGCGCGTCCGTGCCGCGCTTCGTCGCGGCCGCATCTCTGGGAAGATCCTCGAGAGGCTTGCGGGGCACATGGGGTTTACCAGCCTGGTCCGACGGGAAAGCCTCTCGGTCTTCGACGCGCTGTTCGCGTTCATCCGCCGCTTCTACCCCGAAGAGGCCCCGCTGTGGCCCAGTGTCATCAACGAGCTCACGATCTGGGAGGGGATCGCGCCGCTGCTGTGGCGCAACCTGAAGGCCTCGTGGGGGCCGTCGCTGTACGCCGTCGACGCTTCCCCGACTGGTTTGGGAGTCTGCTCGTCGCCGATCTCTGTTGAGGAGGCCCGGGGGCTTGGGAGACATTGCGAGCGGTGGCGTTTCTCTCGGGTTGCGCGTCTTCCTCCACGACTTCAGGCTGCCGCCGCTGCCGCCGTGTCCGACGACCCCGAGGTGCAGTGGCTGTCTGGAGTGCACGACAACGGGTCCGGAGGTCTCTGGGATGTTGATGGGGGGCCGCCGCCTGCTGGCAGTGCCGCCGCCGTCCTGGGTTGCGGGCTCGGCGATTCTCGTGACGCCGTGTTTCGTGAGGTACCCCTGAAGCTCTTAAGACGTGACTGGAAGATCGTCGGGAGGTACAAGTGGAACGTTGAGGGGCCGATGCCTATCCTCGAGGGCCAGGCTATCCTATATGCGCTCCGACACGCCCTGAGGAATGTTCAGAACTTCGGGCGGCGGATCGCGGTCCTGGGGGACGCCCTCGTCGCTGCCTGCGCTGTCTCGAAGGGGCGGTCTGATTCGAGGGCGATGCTGAAGGTCACCCAGTCCGTTGCTGCTCTCTGTCTGGCCACTGGGTGCGTGTTGCACTGCCGGTGGCTCCCCTCAGAGTGGAACGTGGCTGACGGGCCCTCGAGAGGGCTTGCAGTACCGTCAGTGCCGCAGCCGCTGTCTCTCTCGAAGCCTCGCGAGGTGGAGTGGCTTCGCTCGGCTGGGCAGCCCGCGCCTGCCCAGCGGCCTCGCCCCGCGGCAGGAGGCGATGCTGCTGCGAGCGTTGCCGTCGACCGGCCCCCCGCCGACTGGGTCGGCTTCGGGGCCCTCGGGGAGGGGCAGCCAGACGCGGGCGCCAGCCGCTTCGACCCCATCTTCATCGGCGGCGTTTCTTTCGCGGGCCGCTCCCAGCAGCGCGCCGGCGGCTGCGCCCCGTCGGGCGCCGCGGGCGCCGGCGCGAGCAGCTGCCCGGCGCGCCGGGCAGGCCCGCGTGAAGGAGGCGGCGAGGCGGCGGGCGGCCGCGACCGCGGCCGAGGGGCTGACCGTCTGCCAGACTCACTCGGTTCGCCCCGCTACGTTGCGGCTGTGCCAAGACGACTTTGCCTCGTTCAAGCGCTAGCTGAATCGCCAGGGCCGCCTGATGCCCGAGGGCGAGCTGGACACCGACCAGACCCTCTCCCAGTTCTTGGACGAGATGTACCTCGACGGCGCGCACGTGAGCTTGGGGCAGCGGATGCTCGCCGCGGTGCTGTTCCACCAGTCGGCGCTGAGCAAGGCGGGCGGCGCGCGGATGGCGCGGAGCCGCCGCGCGCTCAAGGGCTGGCAGCGGCTGGCGCCTGCAGGCTCCAGGCTCGGGGCGCCGTACGAGGTGATGTGCATGATCGTGACGTGGATGTGGGCGCACGGCCTGTGGGAGGAGGGGCTCGTGACCTGGCTGACGTTCGAGATGTACTACCGCCCGAACGAGCCGTTCACCCTCCGCGCGCGGGACATCGCGCCGCCGGTGGCGGGCTCGCGGGCCGGCGGCAGCTGGTCGCTGACGCTGCGCGCCCGCGAGCACGGGGTGGCCTCGAAGACCCAGGAGTTCGACCAGGCGCAGCTCCTGGACCTGGACCGGCAGGCGGCTCTCGGCCCAGCGCTCGGCGCCATGCTGGAGGCGCGCTTCGGGCCGCAGTGGCGCCAGGCGGTACTGAAGCGGCCTGCGGGGGCTGCTGCGGCCCCGCCCCTCTTCACGATCAGCAGCACCCAGGCGGGGCAGGCGTTCGACAGGGCGGTGCAGGCGCTGGGGCCTTGGCGCGTGGGCGTGGTCTGCCGCTACCAGCTGCGCCACGGCGGCGCCAGCCACGACGCGGCGACCGGCGCGAGGACGCTGGATCAGATCCGCCATCGAGGCCGCTGGCGCGCCCACAGCAGCCTCCGCCGCTGCGAGAAGGGGGCGAGGCTCGGCGAGGTGCTCGAGCGCCTGACCGCCCCGCTCCGTGCCCACGCGCTGCGCCGCGCCGACTTGCTCGCCGACGTTGCGGCCAGGCGACGCCAGCCTTGCGCGAGCCCCTGAGGGCCCCCGCGTTCGTGGAGATCTTATCCGGCTCAGGCAGGCCGGGGCGTGCGGCTGCGCATGAAGGGCTGCAGGTGCTCTGGTGGGACATCTCGTTCGGTGACGCCTATGACCTGACGCTTGGCAAGAATCAGAACCTGCTGTTGGGCTGGCTCGCTGGAGGCCTCATCATCGGGTTTCACGTCGCGCTGCCGTGCCAGACCTACTCCCGCATCCGCGATCGTGGAGGCGGGCCGCCGCCGCTGAGGAGTGACGCGTGGCCGCGGGGGCCTCCGAACCTCTCAGCCGCCTTGCAGCGCAAAGTGACGCTTGCCAATAATCTCACTCGCTTCGCATGCCGCCTGTGTCGTGAGGCCGTCCTTCGACGGATCCCCTGGTCTTTGGAGAATCCGCGAACCTCGCGCCTGTGGCTGTGTAACTCAATCGTTGCCCTTACGAAACGGAAGAATGTCAGCAGCGTGTACACTGATTTCTGCATGTGGGCTGGACCTTTTAAGAAGTCCACAACGTTTGTATCGTACCTCGTCGATCTCTCTGGGCTCGCCACTCGCAGGTGCCTCGGTAGCCGCAGAATGTGCGCCCGCACTGGCGAGCCGCACCAGCAGTTGGTCGGCAAGCGTCAGGACGGTGTGTTTTGGCATAAAGCTGCCGAACCATATCCAGCCCCGCTTTGCAGTTTCATCGCCAAACGGTTCTGGGACAATTGCTGCGCGAACCGCTCAGGAATTTGACTGGTTCCTGTCTGTTGCTTAAGTCCCGGCGGAGCCAGTTGGCACTCGTGCAAGTATGGCACTTTCTAGCTTGACGGTGCTGTCTTGGCAGTGCGTGTGGCCGAAGCCACACTCGGGTGTGGAAGGTATTGTGACTCGTTGCTTGCCTGCCCACTCGCTCCGGTCGGTGGCGCCACTGTATGTAAAAACACATCGTCGTCTGGCCTCGAACGGAAGCCCGAGCAATTGCAGTTATACTAACGCGTTTTGCGGAGCATGAGTGGGTCGGGCCGCCTTAACCGTATGGGCTCAAGGCGCCCACCACGCCCGCCCATTTTTCGCCTTGAGCAGTGCGTGTGGCCGAAGCCACACTCGGGTGTGGAAGGTATTGTGACTCGTTGCTTGCCTGCCCACTCGCTCCGGTCGGTGGCGCCACTGTATGTAAAAACACATCGTCGTCTGGCCTCGAACGGAAGCCCGAGCAATTCACGTGGCTTACGCTATTCCGCCGACCCCCAGGCCCCAACAGGACTGAGAGCCTGTCCCGATCGTGGAAGGCTTCTTGCTGCATGCATTCGACGGTCTCTCCGGATGCTTGTCGGGGGCGTTGTGGTCTCTTGGGCGCCTCACGGGAGCCTCTTGGGGGAAGGGGACAGCCAAAATATCTGGCGGGCGCCTGTTCCCCCCTGGCAAGCGGAGACTCTGCACGGGTTTCGTTTGTCTTCCCCTCGGGGGGGGGCGGGCGGCAACGCCGTCTACGTTCAACGCCCTCCCACTTCAGAATTCTGCCCGCTTCTTCCGAGCAGGGGGTGCGTCACGCATCCGCGGCTCTGCCCGTGCGCGGCCCGGGGGTCCCTGGGCCCCCTGTCGGCGACTGCGGGCGTGGTTCCGCCGCGGTGTGGTTTGCGATCTGCGTCATTGGTCAGAGAATCCGGAGAGGTACCCATACCCCTGCCCTCGTCGCCACCGCTGGATCCGCCTCGAAATTCTGGTCAGGGCGCACCCCGGGAGAGGTCCGGGGAGCAGCGGTATCGATATTGAAATGGCCTCCGGCCAGTGCCGCCGATCCGGGGCGCCGGGGCGCTCTGGATGATGATGATGATGATGACGATGATGATGATGCTGATGATGATGATGCTGATGTTGATGATGATGATGATGATGATGATGATGATGATGATGATGATGGTGGCGGTGATGATGATGATGACGATGACGACGATGACCTTGTGTTCTCTTGTGGGCCTCTTGGAAGCCTTTTGGAGCCTCTTGGGAGTTTCTGGGAGGCTTATTGGAGCCTCGTGGGCGCCTCTATGCTGTTGGGGACGGAAGACTTGTCATGTTAGAAGACAGCTCTCGCTCGAGACATCCTCATAGGATAGAGATGTTGAAATGGCTTGCGGAACTTTCGGATCTTGGAAAATGACGCTCTTGCCTGAGACACATTCAAAATCCGGAGATGTTGAAGTAGCTGTAGTACGACATCTTGTGGAGGCGCTCTTGGAGGACCTTTTGGGGCCTCTTGGGGGCGTCTTGGGGCCTCCTGGGGGCCTCCTGGGCCATCTTGGGCCCTTTTTGGGCCGTCTTGGAGCCCTTTTGGGCGCCTCTTGGGCCCGTCGTGGAGCCCTCTTACGCCGTGTTGGGGGCCTCCTGGGCCTGCGTAAGCCCTTCGTAGGCCGTCTTGGAGCCTTTTTGAGGGCCCCTTGAGCCGTTTTGGACACTGTGAAGGCCCAAGAGGCGAACATGCTAAAAATGTAGGGTTTTCTTGGGGGCCAGTTGGGGCCTTTTGGGGCCTCTTGGGGGCGTCTTGGGGCCTCCTGGGGGCCTCCTGGGCCGTCTTGGGCCCTTCTTGGGCCGTCTTGGAGCCCTCTTGGGCGCCTCTTGGGCCCGTCCTGGAGCCCTCTTGCGCCGTCTTGGGGGCCTCCTGGGCCTGCGTAAGCCCTTCTGAGGCCGTCTTGGAGCCTTTTTGAGGGCCCCTTGAGCCGTTTTGGACACTGTGAAGGCCCAAGAGGCGAACATGCTAAAAATGTAGGGTTCCCTAAGGGGAATCGATGATTGTGGCCGGTCGGGGCCCTTTCGGGAGACCTCTTGGGGGCCTCTGGGGGCGTCTTGGCGGCCTCTTGGGCTGTCTTGGGTTCATGTTCGGCGTCTTGGATCGATTTTTGGGCGATCCAGAAACGTCTTGGCCCGTCTTGGCGGCTTCTTGGCAACGTTTGGGTCCATTGTGGCCAACCGAACCCCGACCAACCGAACCCAATGTGTGGAAGCCCCCCCCCCCCCCTACCCCGGCAGAGCCACCCCGGTCCACCCCCCCCTTCAACTCACACGCCGGATCGGCGGATTTTCTGGTCAACTGGGGCTTGGGGGGGCACCACATTGCCCTCATCGGGCCTCCTCGGAGAACTGCGAAGAACTCTGTCGAGGTCCTCTCCCGCCTACCCAGGGTGCACGCTGCAAACCACACCCTGTGCAAACCACACCCTTCGGAGTCGCCGACCAGGGCTGTCGACCCTTCTCGGAGGCGAGTTGTGTTGTTCTGGGTAGCTTTTTTGCTCCCAGTCCTGGGGGCCGTCAAAGGCTCACAGAGGCAGGGACCGAGGAAGCATCGTCCATGTCTGACCGAGACTGCCTTGGTTTAACACATCGAGTTCACGTTCTAAGAGCACTGCTTTGTTCTTAGCACATGTTTGGGTTCTTGGAACATCTCGTGGTAGGCCTAGTGGAATGCCGGGACGGTCGGTCCCTGTTCCAGATCAACTCGCCGAGCGCGTTCCACTACTCGCAAAGTGCCTACTCGCAAACGTCCGAAAACACAAACGTCTGCTTCGATGTAGTTTTCCGTATATCCCCCCCGGCGGATCCTGGCCATTTGCGAGCAGTCAGCTTGCGAGCAGTGGCACGCGCTCGTCTATCTTTGAGCCGTGGCAGGTCCAGGGCTGGCCGATGGACGGCCGAAGCCGTCAAGCCCAACAGCGACCGCCACAACGCCCACCCGGGACGGCCGGCCAGCCTTCCGTCCCGGGACGGCCGGCCACGGTGGTCCTCTCGGCGGCAGGATTCAGTCGGGCTTGTCCCTCCACAGGAGGAGGATTACAAGATAGCAGAACCATTGTCGGGGGAGGATTCGCAGACTATAGTTTCCTATATGTTTGAGCACGTGTGGACTATTTTTGAGGTTTCCGGCCGAACATCCGCCTGTAGGGGGGCATGCCCGACCTGATGGCATGACCTTCCGTTCCCTCTCGCTTCGTCCTCTTCGTTCTTCCGTCATCGTTTTGCGTGTTGGACTTGCTGTTCGGGATGTGTTCGGGGGAGCGTGAGACTCGAGTAAGCCAGAACTCGGGTTTGCCGACTTTATTTGAAGAGCGCGTCCTGGAATTTGACGGTCCAGTTGTTGTGAGATGTCTGCAGCGGGAGATCGCGTCAGATTTCAAATTTGGTATCGTCATTTTCATGATGGCCCCGTCAGGCCAACCCGAGTCCACCGTACCCGAGTCGTACGTCTCCCCGATATGTGGTAGGGCTATTCTTAAGAGCGTGTGCAATTTCGGAGCGACACGTTTTGGGGGCAAGTCGTATCAGTCGCCATCTGGTCTTCCCTTGGTTTGTGTGTTGACATTAATGTCTGGCAGAGCCATCGGGAATGCCCACACAGCGCGTCTGTTTTGTCTTTCTCTCTCTCTCTGTCTCTTCTCCTCCCTCTCCTCTCCCCTCTCCTCCATGGCTGGTGCTTCCCGGGATGTACTCGCCTTTCCCTCAGTGGGGGGGGGGAGGGGCGAGGCGGAGCGGGAAGAGACGCAGGAGGCCTCGAGGAGGAGGAGGAGGAGGAGGAGGAGGAGGGGGAGGAGGGGGAGGAGGAGGAGGAAGAGGGGGAGGGGGAGGGGGAGGAGGGGCAAGGATGGGCTCATGATCGCTGCCCTTGACCAGTAGAAAAAGAAGCATTCCTGGAGCAGGCCGCCCGGGGCCCTGCCGCGGTTCGCGCCCCGGGGGTGCCCCGCGCCAGGGCTACGGCTTCATCCACGCCGTGCCCGGCGTGAGCAAGGACGTATACTTCAAGGCGCCCATGCTCGGGGGCGGAAAAGAGGGGGGTGATGATTAGGGGGGGGGGGGATATCATGGCGCGGGCCATGATTTGTCTTCAGATTTCATGGCGCCTCTTCTTGTTTCATTACGTCCCTGGCCCCCCCGCTGGGCCGCGCACATGCCGCTGGGACGCATACTTCAAGGCACCCGTCGCAGGCCTAGAGATTGACCCCAACACCAAGATCGGCGGTGTGCTTCCACCGAGGGCAGAAGATCCCGATCTCGGTGGTGGTGGTAACATTCTGGCTTCCAAGGTGACCGAAATGTTACCACCAACACCGAAATCTAGGATCATCGTTCCCCTGTGGAGGCAACCGCCTGTCTTGGCGTTGGTGCCCATTTCCAGGCCTCCAAACCCGTGCCGTTCGAAGATGCAGGCGATCGCAAACATGGATCAAGGGGGGCGTGGATGCGCGACGCGTCCCGCTTCCATAGGGGAGTCGGGCATGTCCGCCGCCGAACGGGGTGGCACCGGCCGCATTTTGGGAAGGGCGCCTCCCCCGATCCATGGGTCTGACGACCGCGCGCCAAGTCCATGTATCGCTAATCCATGTTTGCGCGCCCCCGAAAGATGGAGGAGGACCGGAACAGAAAAACGGCATAAACATAAATTTGTGTCGCTCCGCGCGGGTTTCTTGGATCTGCGTCGGGCCCCCCCCCCCCGCGGCGCCTCAGGCGTCGCCCCTGGCGCGCTCCGCGCGCTAGGGAGGGGGGTCCAGCGCAGATCCCATAAATCGGAGCGGACTTTCAAAAGTTTGTGTTTATGTTTTTGTTGTTCTTGCAGAGGAGAGGACCAGAGTCGGAAACTGAAATCTATACAATACCAGTGGCGGGTGTTGTTTCGATACTGCGACTTTTTGAGGGTCGGGGACGACGTCGGGGCGGTGTGGTGTATACTTCTACCCCGTTTTCCAAGGGAAACAACGAAAAATGTATACATCAGAAAGAGCGTGTTCTACCGCTGCTGGCGGAAAACCGGGGGGGGTCACTACCGGTTCGAACCCCTCCCCCCCCCCCCCCCTCCGGAAAACCGGGGGGGGTCACTACCGGTTCGAACCCCTCCCCCCCCCCCCAGCTCATCATGAAAAGGGGGGGGGGTCACTACCGGTTCGAACCCCTCCCCCCCCCCCCCCTCGAAAACCGAGTGGGGGTGCGGACAGTGGTGGGGACGGTGTTGGTGGGGACAGTGGTGAGGGGACAGCGGGACAGTGGTGGGGACAGTGGGGGGACAGTGGGACAGTGGTGGGGACGGTAGTGGTGGGGACAGTGGTGGGGACAATGGTGGGAACAGGGGGGACAGTGGACAGTGGTGGGAACGGTGGTGGTGGGGACAGTGGTGTGGGGACAGTGGGAATGAGGTGGAAACACTGGGACAGTGGAGGGTACAATGGTGGTGGAGACACTGGTAAAGGCGGTGGCGAGGACGGCGGTGGGACAATGGGACAGAGGTACAGTGGGGACAGTGGTGGGGACAGTGGGGACAGTGGTGGAAACAGTGGGACAGCTCAGTGGGACAGCGGAGGAGTCAGTGGGACAGTGGCAACAATGGGGATAGGCAGTGGTTGGGTCCGTGGAGACAGTGGGGAGGGTTGAACCGTGGTGGGAACAGTTGTGGGAACAGTGGGGACAGTGCGACAGTGGTGGGGGGCATTGGTGGGGACAATAGGGACGGTGGTGGAACCAGTGGGGACAGTGGTGGTGAGGACAGTGGTGCTGGGAACAACAGTGGGGGATGTGATGCGAGCGGTGGTAGGGACCGGGAGTCGTTTGCTGGCGGTGCGTGGGGGGGGGGTCGAACCCGGTTTCGAGGGGGGGGGGGGGGGGGTCCAACCGGTAGTGACCCCCCCCGGTTTTCCGGATCCGGAGGGGGGGGGGGGGGGAGGGGTTCGAACGGTAGTGACCCCCCCCGGCTTTCGAGGGGGAGGGGGGGGGGGGGGAGAGGGTTAGGGGGGGGGGGGGGTTTGCCGGGAGGGGGGGGGGGGGGAGGGGTTCCGGCAGGGGGGGGGGGATTTTCGGAGGGGGGGGGGGGGGGCGACCCCCGGGCTCCGGAGGAAAAGGTTGGCAATTTTCCACAGTAAAGCGGCGGTGGATCACGCTCTCTCATACATCAGGATCTCGTGTACACCAGGATCCGCTCTCCAGTGCAAATTTCAATGCAGTGTCGAAAAAAAAACGTCGGTGTATCGAATTCGATTTCCTATTGAGAAGGACAGAGAGCGCGGCGAAGAGGAAGAGGAGGAGGCGAAGAAGAAAAGGAGGCCTTGATCTCAGGAGTAGGAGGGACCGAGCTCATCTGCACAGACCACCGTTGCTGCTGCCATTTAGAAGGGACATCCGTATGGTGTTCCGAGGCTGCCTCGCAAGGACCGCAGGAATCCTTCTGTAATCAGCAAAGTAAGAATTCGTTTGAATAGCTTGCCACGAAAGGAGTCCCTTTGCAACCCACAAGAACAGAATTCGATGTGCAATGTACCAAACAAGACTCCGATGTGCAACCCGCACACAAGGAAGCCGGTTGCAGTCCGCCACACGAGTGATCATTTTCGAATTGCTTCGGGGGAGGAGGAGCTTTTCTCAACGAGCAAGTAACGGAAACACCTAGAAACATAAGCATGTAACATCGCAGCGCCAACCAGGAGCCAGTCAAATGGCTATCCAGGGAGACGAGGGAGGACAACAACAATTTGAGTGAACATTGTAACCCATGTGCAACCCAACACAACACGGATCTGTGCGCAATAGTCATCGGAGACCCCGCTGGCATCCCATTTCAAAGAGTTCTTCGTAGTGGCACTTTCTCTGGAGACGAAAAGGGGCGCGCGCCGAAATTCATTCCAAACGAAATTGAGCTTTTCTTGATGGTTTCGGTGTGCAGGCGCGCCCTGTCGCGCGGTGGTTTCCATGCGCATCGTGGAACGTGCTGATGCATAACGCGAGGAATTCGCCCTGCACGTTGCGAGGGGGAATTCGCTCTGCACGGTGCAAGCCAATCACGCGTGGCTTGAGCTACTTTGCAGACGCTTTCTGGCGAGGTCCTTCGAGGGCCCTCTCAGGGCCCGCCAGGGCCTCCGAGTGCCCAGAGCTCCCGGCAGCCATGGTCGACAGTTGGCAACAGCAACGCCGCGGAAAAGGCCGCCGAAAGAGCCGTCGAAAGGGCCGCCGAAATTGCCGCCGAAAGGGCTGCCGAAAGAGCCGTCGACAGGGCCGCTGAAATTGCCGCCGAAATTGCCACCGAAATTGCCGCCGAAATCGCCGCCGAAATTGCCGCCAAACCCGCCGCCGAAATTTCCGCCGAAATTCTCGACAATGCCGCCGAAGAGAGGCCGAAATTGACCTTGGCTGTGACTCGATGCCCGTGTGCGCGGCGTCATCGAGCTTGATAAAAATAGTGATTTCGCTTGGGACTGGGCAGTGACAATGTCGGCGGCTGAATTTCGGCGGCGATTTTGGCGGCTGATTTCGGCGGCGATTTTGGCGGAGTTCCCAATTATTTCGGCGGCGATTTCGGCGGCAATTTCGGCGGCAAGTTCGGCGGCAAGTTCGGCGGCGATTTCGGCGGCGATGTCGGCGGCGATTTCGGCGGCGATTTCGCCGACGATCTCTGCGGCCCCTTCGGCGGCCCTTTCAAGGACCATGTCGGCGGTTTTGCTTTCGACAGCTGTCGACGAATGCTGCTGGGAGCACGCAGCACTCGGCTGTGGCAAAGAGTCGATGTGCGGCGGCGCAGGCTGACGTGCCCTCGGCGCGATGATGAATGTAACATGTGTTATTTTGTTGTCTTGGTGGTGGTGGTTGCGACGGCCGCGGCGATGTGTGGTTCAAAGTGGATGCTCGCCGGGGGGCGTTGCAGGCGGGCTTGCGCGCCCAGCATTGCATACTCTCAACAAGCCAAAAAAAAACGCGCAACTCTTTTGGAATTCGGCGGCTATTTCGGGGTCGCGGTGGCTCCAAAGCATGGTCCTCGGTGAAGTTTTCGCGCAGCCCGCCACAGTCGGAATCCTTTTGTGATTCGCCACCAGGAATACTTTCAAGCCTCTTGCACGTTTCGGCCTCGAACCATTTTAGCCAAGCCTCTTCCACAACGCTCCCTGTCCACGGTGGGACTCGGCGGCGCGAGCGGCGATGACACGCCTCCTTGTGGCCGCGGACAGGTGAAGCAGAGTTGGCTCCACAGGGCTAGGGGTACGCGTCACTCGCCAAGGCGAGGCCAAAGTGGGCGCCAGCCACGGCTTCCGACGCTAATGGGAAAACTTCAAGGGCACGAAGGATCAACGCCCGATGGCCGTTGACAGGCAGACTGCCCAGCTTGCAAGTAAGATTCCTTCGGGCGAAGGTTTCAACCAGGCTTGGATCATGCGTTTGGGCATGCGTATCCTTTACGGGTCGAACGGCTACGCGATTGGAATGTGGATGAACCGCTACGGCAGCATCATCGCGGATGCTGGCCGCTCCGGCCTCGTCCAGAATGACAGGTTCCTCCTCTCATTCTTTGGCCTGGGCTGAGCCATGTTTGGGCCGATGTTGCCAGGGACTGCGTCACCAAGTATTTCACGGGTGTCACGCACGCCTGGACCGCGGAGAAGACGCGTGGTGCACAGGCCGTCTACAAGTCATCCACACAGGGCATCACCGCCAACAGCTCGTTGGACGCGGCGCTTGCGTTGCACGGAGGGTTGGGTGGCCTGCAAGAGGTGGAACCTCGTGAGGATCGGAATGAAGCAGCTGATGATGAGCAACCATCCCATCGCGCTGGTCCCCATCACCAGCGTGGTGCCGTCCCTCTCGCAGCCAGTCCTCATCAGGGACTTGACCCTCCGGGGCCTGACGAAGACACCCGTCAATGACAAGGCGGAGGCGCTCGCGTGGAGGAGCCCCGTCCTCTATCCGATAGATCACGATCACCTTGCGGGTGGGAATGGCGCGGCCCAGATCGACGTGCTGAACACCTACAGTGCCGCGGGTTCGTGCTGTGCTAGCGCCGTGTTCGCGGACGACCTGGTGGTTGGTGCCACCAATTGGCATGCCCAGGATGCCAAGATTAAAAACAACTAGGGCTGAGGTGCCGCCCGGTAGCTCCGCCTCCTTTGCTCGGCCGTTCGGCCGGAGAGACACTTGCACTGGCAGCCGCGTTCCGCGAAATACAGCAAGAAGACATGATTCAAGAACCCGCGATACCAAGAAGCCTTTTGGAATCCACCTCAACATAATCTTTTTGTGATCCGCATTAGAAGAATCTTTCTGTAATCCGACACAAGAGGAATAGTTTTGGAACCGCCTGGGAGGAGAAGGAACCCTTTTCCCCGAACAGGTGCTGGGAGAAGAGGAAACACATGAACCACCCAGAAGCAAGCTTACATGCACAGAACACAATATAACAAATCAGATGCTACTCAAGGGAGAAGAGGGGACATAATACATAATGCGTCGACATTCCGAACTTTTCTAGAAATCTGCCAGACACGGGATCTGATTGCAGCTCCCCGCGACACCGAATTTCTTGGTGTACTTTACCACAAGTTGCATGCTTTTGTCCTCCGCCACACAAGGTACTTCGCTGTAGCCCGCACCTAGAGAAATCCCCTAGTCACCTGCGACAATAAGACAATGTGTGGTATTGTGCAGCAAAAAAAACATACCATGTGTAACCCTGACAAAGGGCATCTCTTTGCAATCCATCACACAAGGAATCCTTGTGCAATCGCCCCAGAGGAGAAGGAACCCCTCTCCCCGAACAAGTAAAGGACATTCAGAACACTGGGGACACTTGAGAGCGTATTTCATCACAGTGCAAACGATGAAACATTTCAATGATTGTCAAGTGAGAAGAGGGACAGTCATACATGTGGTAGTGATAACCGGAACACTTGCGTATTCCGCCGCCACGAAAGCATTTTTTTGGTTTTGCAAGCCCCCACAGCACAATTCCGTCATAGTTCACCACGATGGGGATATTGGTGCAATTCGCCACAGGAAATCTTCATGCCGTTGTCTTCAAAAGGAATTATTAGTTTAACCCGCGCAAAGATTTGATCATGCTGTAGTGTACCACAGCAAGAATTTCTATTTGCAGTCCTCATACAAAAGGGATCTTTGTCGTAATCAACCGCAGAAATAATCCTTGGGTTCTGGCTGTCGGTGGTTGTGTTTAGTACTTACGTTCCTACTCCTGGAGGAGCAGTTCGAGTTTTACTTTTGTGCTATGCGTTTGTACGTCATTCTTATTTTTGTTTCCAGGTTTATCATTTTGTGTGGAGAAGGGTTCTTTCTCCTCCGAAGCGGATGAACAGGTATCCCTTATATGTGGCGGAGTGCAACAGGATTCCCGTTGCCGCTGTCTACGGAAAGAGATTCCTATTGCGGCACATCCCAGAAGGATTCCCTCGCTATCGGGGGGCTTATCGTCGATGTATCGGTGACGTATCGTCGATTCCAGCTCCATGTTGCCTCCCTTAAGCTGGTCCCTCCCATCCTTGCCCCTCACTTCGGAGGGGGAGGGGAGGAGGAGGAGGAGGAGGAGGAGGAGGAGGAGGAGGAGGAGGGGAGGTGGAGAGGAGGGGGAGGAGAAGGAGGAGACAGAAAGGACGGGGGAGGAGGTGTCTCCATGCAGGAACGTTCCCCCCGAGGTCTCCGGAGACTCCCAGACATTCCCGGAGGTTTTCAGATCAGGGCTCGGAGGGCTTTAGGGTCGGAGTAGATGGGGTCGGAGGGTCGCGCCGCTGCGGCTCGATGTGGTGCCGAATTCCTCCACGCCGACGTCGCGGATGCAACGCCGATGTGGCCGAGGCGTCGCCGGTGCATCGCCGATGCATCGCCGATGCGGCGCGATCTTCCGACCCCATTTACTCCGACCCATTTAGGAGGCCTTTACTAGAGGCCCCGAGAGGGCAGAATGCATCAAACAAATGTTTCTCCCTTGTTAGCCCCTGTTCCTTGGGGAGACACACTTAGACCCACCCAACAGATCTGTTCGATTCTAGTGCGCCTCAAGTTTAACTCAAATCGACGGACGTTCGAAGCAGCATCGACGCATGCGTGGGGCGAGTGGTTGCAGGAAGGTTTTCAGAACGAGCATCTAAGGAAGATCGCATGCGACGTCTCGCCCCAAATCTCCGGGCACCACCTTAGAAATTAGGCCGTTCAGAAAAGTGAAGATTCTCAGGATTCTCCCCCAGGAGCCGTACATTTGGACGGACCCCCTATCGATGGTGGGCGCCCCCCTGGTCGTAAACGCCCGAGTTTGGCCGAGTTTGGCCGACATGTTTGGCCCATTCGCAATCCCAACAAAGTGGGGAGGTACCGCTCGGGGAGAGAGGAGGGGGGGGGAGGTGGAGGAAGGTGGGAGGAGGCTTCGGGGAACGGAGGGAAGGGGACGAGGAGGCTCGGGGGCCACGTCGGGGGGGAGAGGCTCAGGGGGGACCGCTTCCACCCCGACTCGCCCCCACTGCTGGCAGGGGCCCGGTAGCCCACCTCGCGCAGCAGCGTGCGGACTTCGGTATCGGGGGCACATCGCCGCTCTATCGGCGACGCATCGCCGATTCCAGGTCGATGTTTCCCCCCTCTGAACCTGTTCCCCCCTGGCGTTCCCCACTCACAGGAGGGGGCGGGTTGAGGAGCGCCCCGAATTGGCTGCAGCATCTCGTTTCGGGGTTGGCGTTGCGCGCTCGGGCTCGTGAGGTCGTGGACGGCGAGGTCCTGAGCAAGGGCGAGCAGGCTCGTGCTTCCGCGCGCGCCGCCGATGCACCTGGTCAGGGGACGATGTTTTGGGATGTTTCGGTGCTCGGTTGGTGGACCTTCCTGGGGCCCACCCACGGGATCTGTTCGATTCCAGTGAGTCTCTAGTTTGATTTGACTTCGGCTCAAGCTCGACTCAAGTCGACGGACGTTCGACGCGGCACCGACGCATGTGTTGAGCGAGGGGGTTGCCATTTTCCCATCGTCACGTCGTCGTCATCGTCGTCGTTGTGAGCGTAATTTGCCATCGTCCCACTGGGTGCCGCGCAAGCAAGCACGTTTTGCCTTCGACGTCGTCTGGCACCTGCTTCCATCTAGGTCCTCTTTGATAGCCTCCGTTCTCCTCTCTTCGTTCACCGTCACTCGCCTGGGCGGAAGAGGCGGAAGGGGACGGGGGCAAGTGGCGGTTGCGGCTTGATTGCGAGGGCAAAAATGTGATGGTCCTCGGCCCATCCCGCCATTGCGAGTGCGTGGTTTTCCAGAGGCTTTGGGGAAATTGCGGGGGATCTTGGGGGTCTTCTTGGGGTGCTCTTGGGGCTCTTGTGCCACATTTGGTCGAGTCTTGGGACTTTGGGCCTCCTGGGGTCTTCTTGGGCCTCTTGTGGGGCGCGCGGGGGTGTCGGGATCATGTTGGAGGAGTTGGCCTCGGCGGTGCGACAGAGGTGTGCGCTTTGGGATCTCGGGTCGGTCTTGAGCGGATCTTGGGCCGTCTTGGACGCTCCTGGGACCGTTGCCAGGGCTTCCGCCGATTGTGTCCCTTGGAAGGCAGGCCCCCGAGACCTTCGGACCGGCCAGGGAGACTCCCAGGAGTGCCGAGGTTCGCCCCCCCGAGAGGGCTCCTGCGGCCCTACGCGGCCAAGAGATAGATATGTGTATACATATATATATGTATATATATATATATGCATATGTATATATATATATATATACGTATATAGAATTATCCAAACAGGCCCCAAGGCCGTCCGATGCACTCCAAGGATTACGTCGGGTACGCCCCTCTACAGGAGGAAGATCCAAGAATTGTTGAGACGTAGTCTGGTGATGATGTGTCGTGCTCTCTTGATTGTTTTTCACTCTTTTGGACTCTTTTTTATTGCGAAGGCCTTGCGGCCGGTGCCGCTGCCCCTGAAGGGGAGACCTCCCCCAGGACCCCCGCTGGCGACCCCCCCAGGGACCCGCCGGGAGTAGGGGGAACGCGCACCTGGGTGGCGACCCCCCCCCCAGGCACCCCCCCAGGACCCCCCCCCCCAGGACTCCCCCCCCCTTTGGCGCGGCTCAAAAGGACTCCCCCCAGGAACCCCCCCCCGGGACTCCCCCCCCTTTGGCGCGGCTCAAAGGGACTCCCCCCGAACCCCCGGGACTCCCCCCCCCCGGGACTCCCCCCCCCTTTGGCGCGGCTCACGGGGAAGGGGCTTCCCCTCGATTCCACTCCTACGTTGTTGAATTTTGCGTTGGACGGCGCGCACGAGGGAGAGGGCCCAGGCAAAGGGAACAGAGGAGGACGGAGACGACGACTCCAACGGAAAAGCCTGACTCGAACGGAAAAGCATCTCATACACGCCGACAGGGTCAGCAGATTTTTCTTCCAAAATCCGCCTGTTGCAGGACATGCCCGACCTACCTATAGCAAAAGCAGCCCCAAGACCGTCCGAATTATTTCCAGGGAAGGGGGGGCGGGAAGGCTCGCTACACCCTTGCAACCCTCCCCGCGGCCCCCGCCCTTGCGGGAAAGGGATCTGCTGCTCATATTTCTTGCGAAGGCTCTGTAGCGGGTGCCGCCCACCCTGGAAGATGTCACCCAGGACGGACGAGGTGGCCTGAGGCGCGCGACGGAAGCAATTCGAATTCAGTCGGTGGCGAATCCCTAACGACGAGGACGGGATCAAAGGGAAGAGGCTTCCTTTCGACGCAAATGCGACTTTCTCGATTTCCCTCAGACTGGAGTGCTGTCCGTGTGATCGGCTCTGCCTCTTCGGGTTCACGCGGCCCTCCAAGCCGCTCACACACGCAGAGGGTCGGAAGATATGCCGTCCTCCTACCCACGACGTCTCATCTTTCCATTCTGAACATTTTCCCGTCCCTCCTCTCTTCCTCCCCCCTCGCTCCCCCTCCTGTTGTGAAGGCCTTACGGCAGGTGCCGCCGACCCAGAAGGACGACGACCACGACCACGACCGCGACGATGAACACGACGACAACGACACTGACGAGCTGATGACCCTTCCACAAGCTCGGGACATGAGGCGGGTGGTGGAAGCAGGAGGTTGAGGCGGAGGAGGAGGAGGAGGAGGAGGAGGAGGAGGAGGAGGAGGAGGAGGAGGAGGAGGAGGAGGAGGAGGGGAGGTTAAAGAGGAGGAGGAGGGAGGAGAGGAGGAGGAGGAGGGAGGGAGGGAGGAGGAGATGAGGAGGAGGAGGAGGAGGAGGAGAGGAAGGGAAGCCGTGCGTCTCCTCGGAGGCGGGCGTCTGGGAGGCGACCGTGCCGGGTCCGGATCGTGGGCCGAGGCTGGGGCCAGGAGGCGAGGGTTCGGGTCGGGGCCTGAGCCGCTGCCGGGGACGGCCAGGGGCTGGGACTGGGGCCGAAGCCGGGGCCGACAGGGACACCCCCCCCCTGTCCCCCACTGTCTCCACTGGGGGTGCCGCCCAAGGCCCATGGGGAGGGGAGGTAATCTGACCGGGGGCCCCCCAGCCCTCCCCCCCCCCCCCCTGGTGAGTGAGGGGAAGGGGGAGGGAATCGACAACTACGAAGCTTCTGTTACGACGTGTCTTTTCTCTGCTCGTTTCTGCATCTCCTTTGGACTGGCGACGACGTCGACGAAGACGACGACAGCGTCTCACACGCGCCGGCTAGGTCGGCGAATTTCTCATCATCCCTTTCATGCTTCCTCCTCATCCTTCCTCGTTGTTTTCCCTCTACTCATCGTCATCCTCATCGTCCTCCCTCATCTGCCCCTTCGTCGTCTCCCCTCCTATCTCTCCCGCTCACTTCTTGTCATCGTTTCCGCCCTCTCTCCTCGGCCTCCGCCTCCCTTCTCTGCCCTCGCCTCTCTCTGCATTCCTGCTCCTCCTCCCCCCCTCCTTCGTCATCCGCCTGCTCCTCGGTCTCCCCCTCGTCGGCCTCCTTGACCTCCCCTCGTCCTCTCCAGATTTCTCCTACACCGCACTCACCCTTCAGCACCTCCTCCTGCACCGCCCTGCCGCATCCGCATCCTCCCGCTGCTTCCCGCCATCTTCCTCCATCAGTTGCGAGTTCCTCGCTCTTCCCCCCGCCACTCCCGCCCGTCCCTCTTGCCCCCTCTTGTACTACCATCGCCGCCACTCGGTCTTTCTCTGGCGCTGAGGTCAGTGTCTTGCTCTGTTGGGAACCAGGGAGTTCGTACCCGTGTGTCCTGGACAGGGGGAAAGGGTGATGATGATGATGATGATGACGACGAAGACGACGACGGCGACGACGACGACGACGACGACGACGGAGCGACGACGTCGACGACGACGACGACGGCGCCGGCGACGACGACGAGGGATCGGAAACAGAGACCCTGACCGTTGGGCCGCCCTCGGAACTTTTGGATGCTTTCAGAGGTCTCCGGGTGTTTTCAAAGGCTCCCAGGCACAGTATGTCTCCCCCCCCTCGTCCCCGTCTTCTCGTCATCCTCATCACTGTTCTCCAGGTCGACGTGAGTATGCTTGCCTAGGTTGGACCAGCCCTGAGCCTCCTCTGCTCCACGCTGCCAGGTCAATTTTGTCCTGAACTGGTCGAAGGACGGCAAGCCGCAGGCCTGAGCTACCTTGCACCAGCGTCACCCCAGCCTACCTCATACTATATGTGCGTCGCCCCTCCAGGGGAGACGCGCGCACCGAGAAATCTGATTGTATATGCGTCGTGGCGGGCGCGTTCTGGCCACAGCGCTCGGGAAATGATAAACGACAATATTGGTATACTATATGTTCGGGTCGGACGCGCGCCTCCAAGGAGGGCATATACTACGAGTATGTCTCTGTGCGTCCCACTGCATCTCGTCGCTCCGTTGTCACTCCCACCATTGCCCTTTCCCAGCACGCCCTCCTTCCCGGTTCCCCCCCCCCCTTTCCGCCCTCGCGTCTCCCCTTGCTCTCCCCCAGTTCCGCCCCTCGCTCCCCTTCCCTCTCCTCCGCCCATCCGCCCTGTTCCCCTCCCCGCCCTTCTGCTGAAGCCTCCCCGGCCTCCCCTCCCCAGTCCCCTTCCCCCCCCCTGCCACTTCCCTCGCTGCCCTGCCCCGTCCCTCCTAGTCCCGTCGGGTTCTGACGCGTTTTCCGACGCCTCCGCTTTCACTCCCGCGCCCTTCTTTCCCTCTTCTCTTTCCCCCCGTCCCCCACCTCGGTACACTTCCTTCCCTGCCAGCCCTCCATCCCCTCTCCTCCTCCCTTCTCTCTCCAGTCCTCACTCCTCTTCTGTCGGCCCCGTCCTTCCATCCCCTCCCGACCTCCCTCCCAGTCTTGCCTCTACATGCCTTTATCCTCTCGCCCGCCTCCCGCCCCCCTCTACATGCCGTAATCATACTTTCACCAACCAGTTCCTTTGTTGGTGGAAGCGGAGGAGGAAGTGGCGAAGGAGGATGATGTTGAGGAGGGGTTGGATGTGGGAGAAGACGTACAAGGGGAAGGGGGGGTTCAGGAAACGGAGGAGCTCCGCCTCCCTCCCGCCCCCTCGTCTCACCCTCCTCTTCCCTCTCCCTCCCCTCCTCCTCCCTCGTCCCTCGTCTCCCTCTCGTCCTCATGCAGTCCCCCTGTCGGGAAGCTGGCGTGCAGATGTTGCATGTTGGCACGTCGTGGGGCCGTCACTGGCTTCGGAGATTGTCTCGCGGACTATTATCGACCGTCTTGTGACCCTCTTCGGGTGTGTAGGGCCGCCTTCGAGGTCTCTTGGGCTACGTTGGGGCTCTCTTGGGACCGTCTTGGTGGCCTCTTGGGCCATCTCGGGTCCCTTCTGTGCCGTCTGGGGGTTCTCGAATGTGCCGCCTCAATGTTGGCTACGTTTGGGGTCCAGACGGCCACGACCCTCGGCAAAACAAACACTGAGGTGCACGTAGCCGTGCTCCCACTCCTGCCCCCATGTAGCCGAACTCCTACTCCGCATCCCGCCTCTTCGCCGTTGCTGCTATTAGGGTGTTGTGTTAATAAGGTCTGCGGGCCGTCTTACGGCCATCCTGGGCCGTCGTTCAGCCGTCTTGAGCCGTCGTGATGGGCCGCCGTCGGGCCATCGTTGGCCCTTTTGGAGTCGCCTTGGGCCGTCTGGAGGCCCCAGCCGGAGCCGCGAGGGAGCGAACGTGAGCGAGTACGGTGCCGTGCTGATGGGGATACGCGAGCCTCCTTCTTCAAGGGCTCCCTCGAGGGCGCGAAGTTATTCGCGCTTCGCGGTCCTCGTTCCTTCTCCCCCTCCTCCTCGTCCTCCTATTCTCCCTTTGGGAGGGCGGCGCGAGAGCGCGAAGTTATTCGCGCTTCGCGCTTCGCGCAGCGCGAAGCGCGAAGTTGGGAGCCCTAGCTTCTTCTCCTTCCTATAGCGTGCTCAGCATCTGTCCTGCCCTACCTGTATCGCAATACCCTCCAGACCTTGACACGATCAAGGCCACGTGGCGCTGGAAGGCTGGCACGGCGGGGGCCCGTTGTGTTGTTTGATGCTTCGGGGATCCCGACCAGTCTATCCAGAAACCATCGCCAGGAATGTGACCCTGATCTAGAATGTGTAGGAGCATGATGTAAAACATCTGAGTTGGGGCGATCATCTGGCCCAAGCTCCAGATCAGCTTGACCATGCCCAGGAGAGAAACGGATGAACTTGTTGTCGACGGAGGAGGCGGGGGAGAACGCGGAGAAGAAGGATGTAGAGGAGGGAGGGCGCTCGCGGGCTCGCGTATAAGACAAGCACATTTGCTAATACTACGATTGTATGATGCTCTATTCCAAACCTGCCGAGCCCCCTTTTGGGCATCTGTTCCATCAGAATTGGAGGCGGCGCGGATTGGCGACCAGCCGCGTCCCCCCTGGATCACTAGACATTGTCTTTTTGAAGCCTTCTTGGGATGTCATTGTGGCAATCTTGGGGCCGTCTTGAGCCCCTTCCGGGCCCTCTTGTCTCTCTGATCTGACCACGGGCCATCGGCAGCAAACATGCGAGAAATTCAACCTGTATCGACAATTTGTCTTCGATGCTTGAGTGACCTTGGCCTCCCGAGTGCCTTCTTGGAGCCACTTGCTTGTGTTTCGGTAACTTTGACGCTCCGTGGCCACTTGGAGCCATCTTGGGTTGGTCGTATGGCCTCTTCTTGGAACCACAGTTGAAGCTCATATCAAGCCATCTTGGGCCGTGTTGGATTCCATCTTGGGTTCATTGAAGCATTCCTGGAGTCATCTTGGGCAACATCGTCGCTGTTGTCGTCCTCATTGTCGTCCTCGTCGTCATTGTCGTCCTCGTCATCGTCGTCGTCCTCGTCATCGTCGTCGTCCTCGCCGTCGTCGTCGTCGTCGTGGTCGTCGTCGTGTCGTCGCCAGCGCCGTGGTTGGCGTCGTCGTCGGTGCCGTCGTCGGCGTCGTCATCGTCCTCGCCGTCGGCGGCATGGTCGGCGTCGTCGTCGGCGTCGTCTGCGCCGTCGGCGTCGGCGTCGTTATGGACGTCGTCGTCGTCGGTGCCATTGTCGTCGGTGTCGTCGCGGCGCATCGTCGAGCGGCCACGAAAGGCCGCCAACATCTCGCGCGCCCTCTCGGAGGGCGAGCAGACGGTGCGGCCGCGCCCAGCTTGCCTTGTAGCACGTGTTGCAGTGGAGCCCTCTTGCTCCTCCTCCTCCCCTTGCTCCTCCTCCCTCTCCTCGCCCCCCCTCTCTCTCTCTCCTTCCATCCTCTTCCTCCCGCCTCCTCTCCCTTCCCCGGCTTATCCTCCCCCCCCGTTCCCTCCCTCCTCGCTCTCCTCCTCTTCCCCCTCCTCGTCCTGGCCGCCGTCAGCGTCGTCGTCGCCGCCGCTCGGGCCATCGTCTGCGTCATCGTGACCCTTCCTGCTGCAGCACATCCTGCAATTGTGTACAAGACGCCGTAGTCGTTTGGAACGGCCTGCAGGTGACGCGAACAAGTCGCACGCGAGCCAGTCACACATACCGAACACCTGGATGAGGGTGGCGCACCCGAGCAAGAGGAGCACGCACCGTAGTTGAAGCATCCAGCAGGCCTTGTTTCGCGGGCGGGGCAAAGCACGACGAGGGCAAGCCAGCAGGACCCCGCCGTGGTGGTGAACTGTGGACCCGTACTTCTCCGCGTTGGGAGAAGCTCTTCACTGGGAGAGCATGCTGTGCCAGCTGCCTCCCCGCCCACGGGCGTGCGGAAGCATGTGACAGAGGCAACAGCCTCCGTGCCAGCCCCACTAGTTGAGAACCCTTTGGAGCCCCTGTGGGGACGGAGACCACTGGCAACCGCCAGGCAAATGGTTTGCGGCCACGGCAGCTGCTCGGCGTCCTGTCGCAATGGCCGCTGCCCAGGGGCCATTGAAACCCAGCGAAGGGGTACACCAGCAGCGCCAGTGTGGCCATGTTGACAGACCAGTAGGCCTAAAGATGCGCGGGGTGACCAGAGTTGGGTTTACAGCCCCACCTGGCGTAGACCGCGCACCCCGGCCAGGCTGGTGCCACAGCGTGAAGTGTAATGCTTTAGGGGGTGATCCGCAGTGTCCTATCCCTTTTCGCTGACTGCCGCGACAATGTGCAAGGTCGCCGCCCAGCTTGCCCCGGGCGCTCCTCGGTGCGGCAAGCGGCTGCAAGATTCTAAGGGTTGCGCAGTGCAATATTTCTGACCCCGTCCTCCCCCCCCGCCCTCACGTCCCCGTCATCCAATCCGTCCCAACCCTCTCCCTCACCCCGCCCTCTCCTTCCAGCTTCTTCCTCCCCCTCTCCCTCCCCCTTGTTTCCCTCCTCCTCTTTGCCTCCCCCCTCTCCCTCCCCCCTCGCCCTCGTCGCCGTCAGCGTCGTCGTCGCCGTCGTGGTCGCCATTGCCGGCGCCGTCGTCTGCGACGTCGAGACGAGGCATCCGACGAAACGCTTTTTCCACTACGCTTTGCGGTTCCTCGTCGTTCGGCACCCGAGGCCCGTTTTCGCGCCGCACAGCAGTCAAAAACGAACCCGGGGGGCGAAACATTGGCCATGGGGAGAAGGTCGGGACCTTCCTGGGGCCGCGCACGGATAATTTCCCATGGACGTGCCAAATCTTGCGGAGGAGCGCTGGGGGGGCCCCAAACGGTGCAGTGACCACACCGTGTGGTGAGTCGGTGGTGATTCGGGCCGTTTTTCACGGAGGTCTCGGACGATTGGGGCCTCCAGGGTTTCAGCACCGGTGGTGCGGTGAGGTCTATCGGGGATGCTGAGGTCACTGCGCGGTCTGTGACGGCACCGTTTTGGGGGACCGCCGAAAAGGGGCAGGCTGGGTAGTCGAAGGCCAGACTGTCAGATTGGATTGGGCCCCAAGGGCCAATCTGGCCTGGCCAAACTGGATGATTTGGGTTATTCGCCAGACTGGATTCGCGTTGGCTCCCTCGCCAGATTGCCCCCGTTTGCCAGATTCGGCCTGCCAGATTGGCGCCAGAGTGGCTTCGACTACCCAGGGGAGGGCAGGATTGCGAGTCTGTTTACGTGAGGAGCAGCGGACAGCAAGAGGTGCGTGCACACGAGGGCTCGCCGAGCGTCCGAGAGGTACGCATCTCGCGAGGGAGCGTCGGGGACATGGGCCGACCGCGAGAGCTCGGGGGGGAGGGCGGCCTGGTCGTGCACGTGTGGGCGCGCACGTCTTCTGAGGGCTTCCTTCGACCCAGAGGTCCGAGGTCTCGACACAATTGCAGCGTCGCGAGCAGGTCACGGCCGGGTCCCTGGATTGCATGTTCTGCGGAATTTCTGGGCCAGGATCGGTCCGTCCTGGTCCTGAGGCCCCAAACCAGGCGAGAACACCCAGCTCGAAAACATGCTGACGCCAAGATCTCAGAGGAGGAGGAGGAGGAGGAGGAGGAGGAGGAGGAGGAGGAGGAGGAGGGTCCCCACCAGCCCATCCATACACGATGTCCAGGCGAGTTGAGGTGATCGGGGAAAGGCGGGAGCAAAGGGGGGGACGGCCGAACCGTGCGACGGAGGGAGGAAGAGGAGAAAGAGTGGGGAGAAGAAAGATGAGGAGGAGGAGGAGGAGGAGGAGGAGGAGGAGGAGGAGGAGGAGGAGGAGGAGTAGGAGGAGGAAGGAGGAGCAGGAGAAGAAGGGCAAGCTAAAGAACCAGAGGTCTCTTGGAGGCCACTCGATGCCTGTTGGAATATCTCTTGGGCGCTTCTTGGTGGCCTCTTAGGGCTTCTTCGGGGTCTCTTGGCGGTCCTGGGGGGCTCTTGGGCGTCTTGGGGCGGGGGTCCTCTTGGGGGCCTCCTGGGGACCTCTTGGGGGCCTCTTGGGGCCATCTTGGGGCCATCTTGGGGCCTCTTGGGGCCTCCTGGGCGCTTCTTGGGGCCATCTAGAAGGACTTCGATCAAGGAAGAGGGGAGCTCCTTTCAGCCCTGCCCCCCAAGAGGCCAGCATGGTGCCAAAACCCTAGTACAACCACTGAGTTTGGCTTCCTCGTCGAGGCCGTTTTGGACGCCCTGACCGCTCGAGGAACCCCCCGTCCAGGTCCAGGGGAGGGGGTAGGGAGGAGGGGTAAACCCCTCCCCGAAGGAGAAGAAGGGGGGTGGAAGAGGAACCTCCCCGAACCACCTACGCCCAGAGGGCTGGTGGTATTCAGCGTCGGCGCTTGTATAGTCTTAGCCGGTAGACGTCTCGATCCAGCGAATTCCACTCAATCTGACCCAGTTCCGTCAAATGAATCCGGCTCGATGCTGGGCCGAATCGGGCTCAATTTGGGTGGTTGGTCTTCCCATCGTTATTACGAAGACCTCCCCGAAGTTGTTTGCTAACCTACCTGCGCAGATGATGATGATGAGGAGGAGGAGGAGGGTGACATTTGGACGAAATCTGGACGAAAGTGTGAAGAGGGGTGGTCGAACTCCAGGCGAAATCTTGCCGAACTCACATCTTTGATAGGGCCGTGGAGATGCACAGAAGCTTCAATGAAGGCTCACCCAAATGATCCCCGCACGCCAAGCGCGGCACCATCAAGTCGTTCAACGCAAAGAACGGCTACGGCTTCGTCTCCGTCGAGGGTTCGTCGAGGGAGCCGCGGCAGCCCCCGGGCGCGGGGGCTCTTCCTCCACCCATCCATCCTCCTCCTCCTCCTCCTCCCTTCTCCTCCTCTCTCCTCCTCCTCCCTCCTCATCCTACCTTTGACGTCAGGCAGACTCCGATCAGCTGTGATCGTTATTAGTCTTCTCCTCGTCCTCTTTTTTCCCCATTCCACCTCCTCCTCCTCCTCCTCCTTGCTACTCATCTTCCCTCTCCTCCTCCCACTCCTCTTTCTCAAGCGTGGTTTCTCACGGAGTTCGGACCGCCGATGGTTTTGAGAGCAGCTCAGAAGGAGGCATTGAGCCGTCCTTCCGGTTCGGGCGCTGGCTCTTCGCGATCGCCGACGGTGGCAGCGAGCAGTTGGGTGCGGCCCAGGAGGCGTGGGCGAGGGCCTTCCTTGGGCGTTGCGTAATGGAGGGGTCATACATGGGGGGGTGGCGAGGGTGGTCCGAAAAGGTACCCAAACGGTACCTAAACGAGCCCCTCTGCGGCTCCGGAGGGGCCCGAAAGGGGCAGGAAAGGGGACCTTTTTTGACCCCCCCATTTGTGACCCCCCCATTAAGCCACGCCCGACTTCCTTGGCTGCCCGCCCTGGCGCCCCACGCAGCGCCACGCAGCGCGGAGCTGGGCTGGGTCCCCACCGGGTCTGGGCGGGCCCGCCGGGATGTCGCGTCGCGCAGGGCAGGTCTGTGGCTGCTGGGCGATGGGGCCCTCTGCACCCGCACGAGGCAAGAGGAGGAGGAGGAGGAGGAGGAGGCAAGAGGAGGAGGAGGAGGAGGAGGAGGCAGGAGGAGGAGGAGGGGAGGAGGAGGAGGAGGAGGAGGAGGAGGAGGAGGAGGAGGAGGAGGAGGAGGGAGGAGGGAGGAGGCAAGAGGAGGAGGAGGAGGAGGAGGCAAGAGGAGGAGGGGAGGAGGAGGAGGAGGCCTCCTTGGGCCTGCTGGAGCGCTGGGGCCTCCCCGCCTGGCCAGCACGGATCGCTGCCTCCCCGGCCAGGGCTGAAAGGGCCAGCATCAGGCCCACGCGAAGGCCCCGTTGCGAGAGGTGCCGCCGCGACCTCGCCCAGGTTGATGGGCCTGTTTTCCACCACCACCACCATAAGCTGGAGGGGGAGGGATGAGGAGGAGGAGGAGGAGGAGGAGGAGGAGGAGGAGGAGGAGGAGGAGGAGGAGGAGAAGGAGAAGGAAGGAGGAGGAGGAGGAGGAGGAGGAGGAGGAGGAGGAGGAGGAGGAGGAGGATCCCCTCCCCCTCCAACTTGTGGTGATGGTGGTGGGTGAAAACAGGCCCATCACGGGCCCTTGCTGCCCTCGTGAGGCCGCTGCCGTACCTGTCCCTCGGCCCCATGCCCAGCGCCGACCTCTGCGAAGACCTGCGGTGGTCCTTCCCTTGGGATGTCCTCCGCGGGCACAGGGCACCGGCCCGCCTCCGGTGCCGGCCACACCCCGGCTCGGCCACACCGCTGGTGCGCGGTCCTGGGCAGCCCAGCAGCAGCGTATCTTTTGTGGTGTGGCTAGCCGTCTCCAACCCCACCTTCCACTCGGGCTGGACGAAAGGGGGGGATTGGGCAGGGGGGGTAACTACGAAGTCTGCTGCATGCGGCTGGTTTCGGCCCCGCCGCCAGGCCCATTCCTCATGGGCGCCTCCCGGCGCCGGGAAGATCAGCTACGTGAGCTGATTCTCAAACCCCCCTATGCTATCCCCCCCCCCTTCGCCCAGCCCGAGCTGTCCCCAGCCCCACCTTCCACGTGCTGTCGTGCTGTCCCGCCACGAAGGCACAGAGGCGCAGTGTCCGGCAAGCGCGGAGCGCGTCCCCCCTGAGTCGCGGGAGGCGTGCGCGCGGGTTTTCCTGAGCGTGCGTCCGGGGGACGCGGGCTACGCAGAGGCAGGCCACCTGGGAGCCCAACATCGAGAGCAGTGAGTCCGAGATCTGGGCAATTCGGCCGGGCTGTGACAAGGATCGTTCAAGCAGTGGCGAAGCGTCCTGTCTCGCCTATAGCCCTACCAAATAATGTTCTAAGAACTTTTTGTGGCTTCCACGGAATGTTCTTAGAACCTTTCTGGCTGGGGCTGTCTTGTTTTAACACATCGGGGTCATGTTCTAAGAACATTGTGTTTGTTCTTAGATTTTTGGGTTCTAAGAACATTTCGTGGTAGGACTATACGAATGCCGGGACGGTCCGTCCCTGCTCAAATAGTGGTCTCCCCCTTCCCTGGGTGACCCCATCCATCCTCTTCCGTCCTCCAAAACGTCTCGCAGCTGCGCCCTGCGTTGACATGAGGCGGCTGGGGGTCGGGCGGGGGTCCCTGTCGAGGTGGGTTTCCCTTGGGTCCCTCCCCCAGGACGTTTTGCTCGCGCTCGTCCCTGGGCAGAGTCGGGCACCCGTCTCCAGAGCGCAGGGCGGCGAATACTCTCGCCCCCCCGTTCATCAGGAGCGAAACAAGGACGTACATGTACATGAATCCACGCTGGTTTCGAGGGCACGCATTGTACAAATGTTCGTATAACGCGGCCGGTCTCGCGAATCGAGGGGCCGTGTTCATGTACATAGCTGGGCGCGTACGTCCTTTGTGGGCTCCCTAGTTCAGGGGGCGGGGGCACCACCTCCCAGGAAAATATGGGAAAATATGGGAAGTGGGGGGGGAAGACAAAAACCAAGAAAATATGAGAAAATATGGAGGGCGCGCCGCTGGATCACCCAAAGGGGGGGGGGGGTTCGGACCCCCCCCCCCCCCCCCCCCCTTGCCCGAGCCGTGTCGGCGAACCCCCCCCCCCCCTCCCCCCCCCCCCCCCCCCCCCCCCCTTGCCCGAGCCGTCGTCGGCGAACCCCCCCCCCCCCCCCCCCCCTGCCGAGCCGTCGTCGGCGAACCCCCCCCCCCCCCCCCCCTTTCCCGAACCGTCGTCGGCGAACCCCCCCCCCCCCCTTTCCCCGGCTCGCGCCCCGGCTCCGGAACCCCATCCCTACCACTCCCGCCCCGACCCCCCCGAACCCCTAACCTCTAACCCAAACCCTGAACCCTAATCCTTAATCCCTAACCCGAAGCCTAAACCCTAACCGTAGACCTAACCCTGACCCCAAACCCTAACACTAAGCCTAGCCCTAACCTAAGCTCTAAACCTGAACCCTTAACCCTAACCCTCAACCCTATCCCTACACCCTAACCCCAACCCTACCCCTCACCCTAAACCCTAAACCCTAACCCTAACCCTAAACCCTAACCTCAACCCCAACCCTGACCCTAAACCCTAAACCCTAGCCCTAAACTCTAAACCCTAACCCTAAACCGTAACCCTAACCCTAAACCCTAACCCCCAAAACCCTACACCCTAAACCCTGCCCCTAAACCCTAACCCTAACCCCTACACCCTAATCCTTAACCCTAACCCTAACCCTAAACTCTAGCCCTAACCCTTAACCTTAACCGTAACCCTAAACCCTATGACCTAACCCTAAACCTTAACCCTAACCCTAACCCTAAACCCTGAACCCTAAACCTTAACCCTAAACCCGAACCCGAACCCTAACCCTAAACCCTCACCCTCACCCTAACCCTAAACCTTAACCCTCAACACAAACCATACCCCTAACCCTAAACCCTAACCCTAACCCTAAACCCTAACCCTAAACCATAACCCTAACCCTAACCCTAAACCCTAACCCTAAACCCTAAACCCTAAACCCTAAACTGCAAGCCGCGGGCGGTGCAACGTCTGTAGCCCGTGGCGACTGGCCGAGCGCTCAGCGAGCCTGCCCATACAGCGTGCGCCGCACCGACGAAGCGGCGATAGCCGCTGAGGAGGAATTCGCACGCCGCGCGGTGCATCCCCGTGGTGTTCTCCTAAGAAAAGGAACCCCTAACCCTCAGCCCTAGCAAGCGGGTCCCCCGCTGGCCGATGCTATCCCTGGGGCTCGAAACCTATGAAAATACAGTATGCGGCGCTCCCTGCGTGCTCCAAACCTATGAAATTACAGCATGCGGCGTCCAAGCGCTTCCAAACGCTCCAGGCGCTCCCAAGGACTCTCCAAGCGCTCCCGGCACGCTCCCAGGCGCTCCCAGGCGCCCCCAAGCGTTCCCAAGCGCTCCCAAGGCGATCACCGGCGCTTCCAGGCGCTCCCGGCACGCTCCCTAGCGCTCCACGGCGCTTCAAGCGCTCCCGGCACGCTCCCAGGCGCTCTCGGCACGCTCCCAGGCGCTCCCAAGCGCCCCCAAGCGCTCTCGAGCGTTCCTGGGCGCTCCCGGCACGCTCCCAGGCGCGTTCCCAGGCGCGCGCTGGCTGCGCTCCCAGGCGCTCCCAGGCGCTCCCAAGCGCTCCCGGCACGCCCCCAGGCGCTTACAGGCGCTCCCAAGCGCTCCCGGCACGCTCCTGGCGCGCTCCCAGGCGCTCGCAAGCGCTCCCCAGCGCTGCCACAACTCCGAAGCGCCCCTAAGCGCTCCCCGGCGCTCCCAGGTGCTCCCAGGCGCCCAAGCATTCCCACGCGCTCTTAAGCACCCACAAGCGCTCCAAGGCGCCACGCGGCGCTCCCATGCGCTCCCGCGCGCTCCCAAGCGCTCCCAAGCGTGCCCAGGCGGTTCCAGGCGGTCCCAGGGCTCTTGGGGGAAGCTCCAGGCGCTCTCCCAGCGCTGCCAGAGGGCCCCCCCAAGGCATTCCACGGGCTCTGCCATGGAGGTGCTGCCGCAGCCATGCGCGCGCATCGTAGCGAGGGGGTGCCAGACCCACCCCCTCGCGCTCCCCCCTCCAGCCGCCCGAAGCTCGCGCCGACGGCGGCTGCGCCGATGATTGCAATCGCTTCAGCGGGGGGGCGACCCCAAAGGCGAAACCCAAAGCCGCGGGCGAATGTAACTGCCGTGCGCGTTTCCGTCAGCGAGGAGCCCGACGGCGCAGCCACTGGCTCCAGGCCCACGGGAAACTATAGGATTGCCGCGCCAGCGCCTTCGCAGCGCTGCTTTCCAATGCCGAAGGCAAATGCCGGACCCCTGTGGAACTGCTGCACCAGC